GTACATTTATACCGTATCTTCCGAATCTGAAATTCCCGGCGTGGAGTTTCGTGCTCCGCCAAATGTTTTCTAGACACGTGACAGCGTATGAGACTGTTACCATTCGGTAATTCTGGGAGAGGCCGAGCGTCAAGCTGCTTAATGAACTAAGAATGAGTTATCTATCGCCCAGTGATTTTCTCGGTTCTTGCTCGACGTCCGTCGAGTTGACGTCGCTCGTGGAGATCGAAGATACCAGGAGTATCCATAGAGATTTGAAACGGCAAAAATTCTCTGCGTTTCGCAAAAAGATTTTCAATGGACGGCATCGATTTGCAACTTCGGGAAAAAAAAGAACGCATCTTTCGCGCAAGACGATCCGTCCTCGACGCGTACGAGTAAATTTACTCAGCCGTCACTTCCGCCGAACTTTAGATAAAAGATAAAAGTCAACGAAATAAATAAAGATAAAGGTAAATCGAAATCGATGTCGCGTTTCGGCGTCGTAAAATGAGTGTTTAGATCGTCAAAGTTAGGAGCTCCTCGGTGATTCGGGCCGGCGATGATTACGAGAAACTCGTCTTCTAGGGACGGCTACAGCTCGCTGCGTAGTCCGATTATATTTCCGCGGGTATATCGTGAACGGCTTTAATGAATTCGATAAGTAGGTTATATATGCTAATGGTGGCGGACGAGGGGTTCGGGGTCGGGGAGGAGGGGGGCCCATTCTCGCGGGACCGCCGATGGGCCCAGGGGGAGTGAGTCATCTGGAGGAACTGGTTTCCACCGTAATACCCAGGTATCGCCGATAAAGAATCATTCCGACGCCTAATAACTTCGGCCGCTGCGCCTCCGCGATTCGCCGGTGACAACTCGTGGAACCGTGAGACCGGGAATCGAAAGCTGCGGTGTCGCGTCCCCCTCGCCCCCGCCCCGTGCGGGAAAGCGGCGAGGCGGCGGCGATAAATCTCCCCTGCAAATGATACAATACTCGTGTGGCCGTTACGTAGATAGAATTTGAAAACAGTTTCCCCCCCAAGCGCACGATATAATTACTTTGGCCAGATAAGAGGATGTTTGATTGCGTCCCCGTGCTCCACTTTCCCCGGCGAGCCGAAATTTCGGACTGCGTTACGGGGCGCAAACGCGCGTGCGTCGATCATACTTCCTTATTGATCGCGGCCGCAGGGGGACCGGCGGAAGACGAATGTTTTATCGATTAGATCGTAGCAACGTCAGTCCTTGCGTGCACGTGAAATAAGCCGACGACACTGACGAAGTATAGAACACCGGCACGGCGCGATCGACGGACGACGGTAGGCGGACAGCGGTGCGACGATAAATTACGTTATATCAGACGTACGAAATGCCTCGCGTATCGGCCTTACGATCGGCTCCTGAATTATCGCGTCGATCTGCAATACGGGATTTCCATACGCGCGCGGGTATCCATAAATTCTACGAGGGGGAGGGGGCCGATCTTTCGGCTACCTCTAAATCTGTCAGGATTTCTTACGCGCGGCGAAACGGTTTCCTTCCCGAGAATTAAAAACCCGCAAAAATAGCACACCGATTAATCATCCGGCGAACCTGCACCTTTTTTTTCTTACGATCTCAAAGTTCTCGCGGTATCTTGTCATTAAAAACGCCAGTATTTTACGTATCAAACATTCTTCCACCGCGGCGAACGACTTTGACAATATTTGTTACGGCTATTAGACGAGATATGAAATTATTATCTAACGGTGCCGGCTATAGAAGTACATTCTCGTTATTTCATTCCGCACGGACGCGACCGCCGGAAGGTTAATTGTCGGCAGGTAAGAGCGGCCAATTAATAACTCGCTGCATAAGTCGCGTATAATTACGTTAACCCGGGACAGCGCGCATCATCAATTATACGCAATTAGCCGAGCCGTGGCCTGCATAGCACGGTACGTACGTACGGCGTATGAACGGCCGCGATCGTGCCTGTAGAGACGTTTACAGTAGGTACAGCCTGTATGGGAGGTCCGACGGTCCCCACCTGCTGTTAACCCCGACTCGCTGGAGGTACGCGCGCCTATTGGTCGCCCCGCCATTTTTCCGTCTTTAATGATAATGGGATAATGATGATTACACCGTTCAACTACCTGTACTAGACGGCACCTGTCTCTCTCTTTCTCTCCTTCCCCCCCGCTCTCTCTCTCCCTCGTCCTGTTTATCTACCTATCTAACCGCCTCTTAGCGATCACCGTCGAGCCGTGGAAAAGCGGATAGATCGGTCCCGGCGTCTCGTCAAGGCGATTCACAGCCTCGTGTGTCTTAACGCGAGAGGCACTTGGCGATGCGACGAGATAAAATAGAAGATTATAGGCGGTAATTAGCAGTTGTGTATTTTAATGAGGCAACCGGTAATTATCTGTTTCGCCAAAATGAAGTGTATGGCACAAGTGACTCCGTGCGCCATTGTCTCGCACGCAATGTCGCGACGCGGTGAAACGACGAACGTTTCATCGCGACGTTAATGCTTTCGCTTCGCCTTGACGACTCTATATCGCGAAGCAATGTGTCATCGTCGAGGCGCGGATATATATCACGTCTATTGCTTAAACGAACATCGGAATTTCAGAGATATTTCAGACGTTGCCAGTAATAAGCCGGATTAGATGAACGATGTTCTCTCGCGCGTCAAACGGACGGCATCGGGAAGAGTCGAGCTAACCAAGGTCGATTGCCGTTTAATATTAATTTAGAGATGAAATTAATCGATAAATAGTGTAAATCATCCCAACTGCGGCTATCGCGAGGTAGAAAACCACTCGCTGTGTTTTGCTCCCGCGTTCCGATTGCATTGCATTCACGCGGAACATCAGCGGCACGGTGGACGTTTCGTGGAGCAGCTCCGAGGCTCTAGAGCGATCACGAGAAAACCATTAACCGCAGAAACTATTAGGCGCAGACTGCCGAGAACAGTGCACGCCCAATGATGTACACCTACGGTACGGCCGTATAATATCGCGCGAGGTTTCACGTGATTACGCAAGACGCGCGGAAATGCTTGCGATCGTCCGATAAAGTCGTTACCCCTCGTTATAGTTAATAAGTGAGTCGCATACCTAAGTGCGAGGGACGTGTGCCTCATCGGATTTCAATTTATCTCGCAATTGAGAAGTCGACCGCGTGAGTTGGTCGAAACGTTTGACACTGTTAGTTTCAAATAAATTATGTAAAATTTGTTATATCCGCACCTAATATCTAGCGTCCGGCTCTTATTGCCCCCTACATTGCGTCTATTAATTAATGTCTTATATATAGAACCTTAAAAATTATTGTTTTATTACGTAATATTCCGCAGTTACTTGATCGGACTCATTTACACGCGGAGAGAATTTTCTCTCAAAACGTATCCTGAAAACCATGTAATCGTGCGACAACGTGGCACTTTGAACAACTTTGTGAGAGTATTTTGAAATTTTACCGCACATTTTGCTATTAAAACGTATAGTTACTAGTGAAATGTATGGTAAAATTTCACAAGACTCTCATAAAACTCTTCGAAATGCCGCGTTGTCCCGCGATGTCAAGAATTTTCTCCGTGCACTTTGAGCTTGTCTTTTTTACGTGTAGACAAGTGTGAATGTGATTTATTAATATCACGAAAACGAATTATGTTACTTCATCCAGATGTTACCAATCGTTGATCCTTGGAAACTGAGTTCAAGTAGCGTAAACTGACTTCTAGCGGGGAAAATATTAAAAATACAAAACCGAGCGACCACAGGCATTTTCCGTAGTCAGTGTCTGTCATTGACATGCAGACGGGACCGTAACGACGCTGTCAGAGACGGCTTTTATATGAAGACATATTGCCGCAGTTGAACCGCGTCTGCGTTCCCGACTGCGTGCTTTTCTTTCCATTCACCATAGACAGAGGTTAACTACAATTATTCCATTAAGCGTTAGATCATCAGTAACAATAGTCGGGAATAGAATCGATAAGGCTGCGGCCAGTGGTGCCGCGATTTGTCGCGTCGCTCGAAGCGCAGCTTGACCTCGCGAGTAAATTTCTCGAGAATGAGAGATAAAAAGTCGAAACTTGATTGCGAAATGCAGTTGCTGCGAATGAATTCGACGACAATTGGCCATTGTCACTTTGCAGCGATAAATTCCTTCCTCGATATCGTTTACACATTCTCGTATGTCTCGTAATTTACGCGAGGGGCTTAAGCCCGTTCCTTTCTGAGACATCAGCGGTCTCGCCTCAGTCCGAGGACTTGTCCTCCGAAACGATCTCCCGGAACTGTCACAATGAGAGATTAGGCGTGTCAAAGAAATCCGACCGGCCGACTCGTATTCATCTATCTCGTCAGCGATGGCGGTGCTTAACGAGGACGTTAATCGAACGTAGTAAGCGGCACCTTTCTAAGCGTGCCAGCGCACGCTAAATCAATCGCAAATCATTGCGGCCGGTTTATGGTGCGTAACTGTCGCATGTTTCGCCAGGGGTTTAGCCGCTTTTCATTTCGTAGTCCTCTCCGGATTTCATCACCTCGTACCTGCGTCCAGCTTTTACGAGTCTGCCTACTTGCACGTAATATGATAAACATTACGCTTTATTACTTGAGCGAAATTCAGCGTGATAAACACTCCATAAATACACGGTATATTATCTGATAAATCGAGCGAAAAGCTTGGCGCGCGGGTAAAGGACATCGTTGAAGAGAGTAAAAGCAACTGCGTATTTAATACACCCTTTTCCGTGCATATTATCGAAAATCAGTTCGCTGCTTTTGGCTACTGAAAGCGTCGTGGAAAAAGTCAGAAATTGATATATTATCCGGTAAATCGAGCGAAAAGCTTGGCGCGCGGGTAAAGGGCAGCGTTGAAGAGAGTAAAAGCAACTGCATATTTAATACACCCGTTTCCGTATTGCAGAAAATCAGTTCGCTGCTTTTGGCTACTGAAGGTCGTAGGAAAAATGAGAAATCGCGACAGACATTGCCGAGTTTCCTTGACGGTCTCCTCTCTTATGCTTTCAGGGGTGTACACCCTACCGGAACACTTACACGATCATGAGATCGTAATACCGCGAAAGGTAAATCACCAGGGTGATCTCGTCTCGGAAAATGTCACGCATCATCATCACGAAGACGGGCCGGTCGTTCATTACCGAGTGGCAGTGGCCGGTAACGAGTACCACCTCGAGCTGACGGCGGTCGACAACTTCATCGGCCGCGCGATGGTCGTGGAAAGACGGAAGCGGGACCTGCACGTCCGCAGCCCGGCGAAAAGTCATGGCAACAAATGTCATTATCGAGGATTCATTAAGGGCCATCGGAATTCCCGTGTCGCCCTGTCCGCCTGCGACGGTCTGGTGAGTTACACTTTCGATTTTCCGATAGGTCGCGTTTACACAAGCCGATATTCGCGTCGCGTTCGCAATCGTTAAAAGTCTAACCTCACGAGGGATTGTTCTAATGTAATTGTTCCACCCTGTGATACAATTGCGATTGATTAATCTATTATAATTTTAGTAGAGAAAAAGAGCGAGTGATAAAACAAATTATGAAGAGCGTAAATTATATAGAGGAAAGTCCCCTATTACAAGATAGGATTCTAATATGGGATAGCGGGATTTCTATTAAATTAGTATTAGGCATCGTCAAGTGATTCCACTATGAATTTATTGCCTCTGGAGCGAAATCTGTTTAGTGGAAAATTCATTGTTAGATTGTATAATCGTTGCGCGAAAAAAGATTTGTGATTGAATTTGGATGTTGAAAACCTGCTATCTCATATTAGAAACTTATCTCATAACAGAGAACTTTTCCCTAAATTTTTTTATCCTTTAAATTTTTTATTGGCAAATAGAAGCTGTATTATGTCGTAAACCTCGCAAAGTTGATTTGCACGTCGATATAAGATGTTGAATCGCATTAAAAGCTAAACGAAGCACGCCGAAGTCTGGCGTGACAAGCGCGATTGAATTGTCAGCTGCAATTTGTAGACAGAAACCGAGCTCCCTGTTGCTTCCGACGAACTAATATGTTATTCGTCGCGACTCCGAGTCGCGCGAAGAGTATAATGAGAGATAAAATCTATGTTTGTCAATGACTGTCAATGCACTTAATCGTTGAGTATACAAGAAGCGAGGATCGAATGCGAGATTTCTGCCGGTTAAATTACAAACTATTGGACATGCGGGTCGCAATCAAGATCGCATATCTGCCCGGTTATGCTCGCGTCGGTGATCAGACACGAAGTTTCAGTCAACCCGATAAAATTCTACCGTCTCCGAGGGAGAGCGTCGTGCATTCGCAGAACCGTAAGTGAACGGACAGCCAATATATCAGGTAAATGATCGGCTTGTCGTTATTTTACTTGGGAGCGACCGCGAGTAGTGGCGACATATCGCCCTTAAGATCTCGCGGCAACGAAACGCGCTTTGGCTCGTTAGGTCTTTTCACTACGTTCTCCACGGTGATTCTAAATCAATCATATTATTTGCGCTTGTCTCTCTATTCTCTGCCTGTCTATCTGTCTGTCTTCTGTCTCTCCCCCCCCCGTCTCTCCTTATCTCCCCCTGTCACCCCTGTCTCTCCCTGTCTCTCCCTGTCTCTCCGTGTCTCTCCCTGTCTCTTTGTGTCTCTCCCTGTCTCTCCG